AACGAAACTAAAGGATGAGTTTCACGGAAATGAGTGTGGTTAGTTGTCAAGCCTCCTAAAGTTACCACAGTTGCTCAATATGCACGTGTCATCAGCAACACATGCTGTCATGAACATCACTCACATGCACATTTCCTAAAATATCAAAGCAGTGTTTTCTAGAATCAACGTTTTATAATTTTACGGTTGCTGTAGATACTTGCGATCTCATGCTGAGTCATGTCTTTTGTTCAAAGTCTAGTTAGCATGGTACACAAAGGACTTCCTTGTTTCTTCTTCATTTCTGTTCAACTCATTAAGAGACAATTATGTGGAACAAATGCTTATACAACACAGAAATAAACTAATATTCCAAGCAATTTAACTCTGAAGAACAGACATAAACACAGGAGTCTTGTTTTTGAGTGTGTCCTTAAAGGGATAGCTGACCAAAAATGAATATTCTGTTAATATTTACACACTCTCGTATGCCAACAGAACAGTTTCATCTGGAACAGAGCCTTCATTGCATCGATGACCTTACTTGTTCGGTTGAAACTGAACTACAGAATAGAGTTGACAAGTTCAACATGGACCTGTAAAACACAATTCAGCTTGGTCCATTAGAGAATGGATTGATACTTGAGGCCCATATCCAGCCCAGTAAAATGTCTGTGGTTTAATGCGTCCTGTATTGTGATCTGCCTGTATCTAATATCCGCTCCTACTTCCTCTCCACAGAGCAGCGGGTGGAGGATGTTCGGCTGATCCGGGAACAGCATCCAAACAAGATCCCGGTAAGCAGATGTGTGTGTCTGTGGAGCTGGAGATGAAAATTAAACTTGATAACCAATTAAAAAGGCTTCCATGCTTAGCAAAGGAGACATTTTTCCCAGTATAGACCTTGAAATGATAAACAAGTAAATTATTAATATTAGAATATGGTCACAATTTTCCTGTTTGTTCTAGGTGTGCCTTTTTTGAGGAAGTACAATAGAATAGCTCATTTGCATCCTATCACATTTTTTTGCCATCACAAAACACTGGATTTAAAGGGATACTTCACTCGCTCAAAAATGAAAATCTGTCATCATTTACTCATCCTCATTATGTTCTTTTTCTGCGTAACACAAAAAAAGATATAAAGTAAATGTAAAATTAAAAAAAAATAAGTAAATGGCCCAAAAAGCAGATGGCCTCAGGATCAAGGCCATTATGTAAAAGTTTAAAACATGCTCAGCTGTGTGAATTGGACAGAATAGGTTAATCTAATGGATAATCTTAAAAGGAAGGTTGTCAATAGACCTAGTTAAACAACTAGCATATGAATGGCTGTGTTTGCATGTATGTATAGGGTCTTTATCAACCTCTTAAAGAACAGTCATTGGTTTTGTAGCCAGGTGTCACCTCTATTGACAGCGCCTCAGGGTTACCAGAACCAATTGTTATTCAAGCTGACCAGGATAGAGTGGTCAACTTCCCATCTGCTGAACACACACAAACCTCCACCCAAAGCAGCTCTTTTCAATGGGAAAGTCTGGACACACAAATATTCAACTTTAAATTCAAAGTTTTTTTTGAAAACGGACCAGAAAGTGGCGGACAAAGATATTATAAACATTTAAATCTAATTTAAAAAAACACTTCTTACTGATATATACAGTATATATTACTTTTTATTAGAACTGTCAAATCGATTAATCACATCTAACTTAAAAGTTTGTAAATATATATGTGTGTGTATTCCTTCACTATTTAAAAATAAAATAAATGATATTTATGCATGTTTCAGGTCATCATTGAGAGATACAAGGGAGAGAAGCAACTGCCGATTCTTGACAAAACTAAGTTTTTAGTTCCTGACCACGTAAACATGAGCGAACTTATTAAGATAATCAGGTAACGCCTTTTACCTCTTGCCTTCCGCTATTCGTTATATCTCTTTGATTATTATTTTTTGGGGGGAAAATCGACTTTGCTAACGCATTTCTGGTTTTAATAGGAGACGCCTCCAGCTCAACTCCAACCAGGCTTTCTTCCTGCTTGTCAACGGTCACAGCATGGTCTCTGTGTCCACTGCCATCTCTGAGGTCTACGAGCGCGAGCGGGACGAGGACGGCTTCCTGTACATGGTCTACGCATCCCAGGAGACATTTGGATCTGCGCGTCCTCTGTAAAAAAGGGCAAAACGATTGGCTTTCACTCTTTTGGACAATGATACAACCTACCCTGAACTCTAGACCTTTCCTCTACATATATCCATATCCACTTTCCCGCCCGCCATCCAGACAGGAACCATCTGAACTTTTATTCATTTGGCTCGAATCCCTCACCAATCCCAGACATTATCCGAAGCTCAATCCTAACTTCCCACGTCTCAGCCCCTTAACCTCAACTCCCTTCTGTGCATTTGTGTTTTCATAATGGATGAGGAGTAATTGTGTTTAGGTTGTAGGACAGGTTATGGTAAGATGGACTAATGCTTCAGGTTTACTCAACACAAATCTTGAACGAAAGACTTCTGTGTGTAATGATGGAATCATCTGTTTAACTTAGCGGTTACATTTTCGAAATGGCATCTAGTGTAACGTTAGGCGGACAAATAGTTTTGAAGGTTATTCGTTAGGTCCGTTTCAGCTTGGAGGGGTCATGTTGCTGCCAGCGCACTCTGGTGACTTTTAACCCCTCCTGTTGTCTGTCAAATCTCTTTATTTGTGGAGTTCGGCAGTCTTTCCGTACCTGTAGGTGTGTTTTCTGCCGTTACATTTTCCTGTTAGAAGCAATTCGGTCTTTTCACCTCCCCCTCGAGCTTTTTGCTAATTGGGTCATGAGCGTGGAGCTTCTCGGATTTCACAACTCTTTGGGTAAGTCAAGGTTCAAAACGGCGTCTTGCGTCGACATTTGAAGTATGCTCCAGTGGGACGTACCCGAGGAAAATAAATAGTAAGCAATTTAAAATACAAGAAATTCTGCGTTGATTGTAGTGTGAAGCTTTGAAAGTGCAAGCTTAGGAAGGAAAATAGAATTATAATCAATGGTACATTGTGCGAATGAATGTGGCTTTAGCGATTGTGGCCTCAATCCATGGACACGGGTGCTGCCCGAACATCCTTGCTCTTGTAGATGCACGCTTTTTAGACTTTCAATTTTATTAGAAGATTATTTACGCCTTTATAAATACATAACTGTGAGCTGTCGTACCTCTTTCCATCTGTATGTCTTACAGTAATCTACAGATAAGCTTAGATGCCTTTTCTCCTGAGCATTTATTTGCTCTTATTTAAAATGTTTTTTTTCCCCCGTTTTGTTCATGTAAAAAACATTCATATGTGATACTATTGTGCAATTTACAAAAATGACTGTTTGAATAAGAGTTTAACTCATTATCGAACTAAGCTCATTTCTGTGTTTCTCCTGCTCAGATTTACAGCAATATTACACTTCTATTTCTGTTGATATTTTAAAAATAAAAGAGGAATATGCATCCTGTTTGGCCTTTTCTTTGAAGTTTTTCCTCAAAATGATTTAATATGGGAAACGTCACTGCATTTAAAGGTTATTTTGTATTGGTTAGGTATAGAAAAATTATGACTAATATATTAATTAAAACATACAAACATTACCGTTAAACCAATATTTTTTCTTTTTTCTTTTTATTATATACTCTTTTGAAAGAAATTAATACTTTTATTCAACAAGGATGCATTAAATTGATCAAAAGTGAAGGGGGCGGGAGGGGGGATTAGTCCTGAAAAAAACAAAATGTTGAAAACTGTTTGCAACATTGATGATGATAATAAGAAATTTTCTTGAGCAGCAAATCAGCATATTAGAATGATTTCTAAAGGATCATATGACAGAAGACTGGAGTAATGATGCTGAAAATTCAGCTTTATCATCACAGGAATAAATTACATTATTAAATATATTCAAGTAGAAAACAGTTATTTTAAATTGTAATAATATTTCATAATATTATTGCATAACAATGTTTTTTACATAACCTTTACCGGTTAAATCAATCTGCTAAAAACGAAATTCTCAAAAACATTTTTAATTCATTTAAAAAAGTGACAAATTGATACAAAAATTCAACAATCAATCTTCAATGAACATTCACCTCTGAATATAAAATGGCTGCGTCAGCATTGTCGTTTTAGGTCAAAAGCTTTCCTGCGATAATACTACATATAATATATACAGCACGTAGTAATTCATTATCGGGCAACATGCATATCCAGCAACTGCAAGATCTATAATTAAAAACAGAAATGTTCTGTAAAAAGCAGCTAGACACTGAAAAACACTGATCATAAATATCACCATTTGCTTTGAAACAGCAACAATGGAATGGCATCTATTGGCTAAATGGGTCTTATTGTGTAAGTCTGACCCTTTTCAACACTTTGGAAAAATGATATGCCCATGTAATTGAGAAACAATGAGGAAAAACCCACTGTTTTGACCTTTTTAGTGTGACATACTAAAAATGGTTTCCTCTAGTGTTCAGTTCTCAGTTCAGAAGCTGAAATTCCTTAGCCTCGTGAGACCATCCTGATCTCGCGAGCTTTCAAGGTTTCACTCGCAGATCAGTCTGGATACTTTCCGTTAAAGAAAATTTGGGAGCAGTTCACCAAACGAACGTCCAATCAGCGTTGGCTTTGAGGCGGGTTGAGGTGTGACGCAACGAGAAGCGCGTCAGTTCAGTCTAAAGAACATGTCGGCTTCAGCGGATGAAACTAGCATCAGCGTGGCTATCGAGCAAGTTTTATCGGAATTACAGAGTATTTCTTCACTGAAAGAAGAGCAAAACACTGCTCTGGAGGCTTTTCTCAGAGGAAAAGATACGCTGTTAGTACGTCATATGCTTCGTTGATCTGATTGGTTGATTTGGCCCGTCTATCACCAACATAGGCCAATCAGCTAACCAGTATTTTCGCCCCTTACCAAAACTACTTCAACGGAAGGTTTCCAGATGGATATGCGGAGCAAATCCATCTGGCGGAGTCAGGTTAGAAATTCCTACATCTGGGAAGCAATTTCTTCTTTTTCATTACAGTTTTAATAACGCCAGTAAATTAAAAAGTTCGACTTCAACGGTCTCGAGTGCTTTGACTGTATAAACGTCTTTTGTTTTAGAGTCACGCTGACATGGCACCTTTATTGCGAAGAGAACATGGAACATGTAATAAAAATATAATTCAAAAGTAGCAAAAACCGGGACATTAACAAATATACCATGATTACAACAAACAGGAACACAGCACATGATGATTTAAGAAGATGTTCGGAAGTCAAAAGGCTAAAAAATTACCTCTTAAGATGGAAAACAACATTTCCACTTCTTTAATTGTCAGTTTGTTCTTTCCTTATGAATTTACAGAACAAAAACTGCCAGTATTTTATTCCCAGAGGTTGACTTGTCACACCAAGAGCAAAAAGACTTGGCCATCATTGCACGTTATTTGGCAAGCAAAATCTGTCATTTACCTCTTTGTTTTGCTTCCAAGAATGACATGTGCGATAAATGTTGACTTACACTGTTGGCTGCTCCACAGTGACTTGCTCAAGCGAGTCTCAAGTGAAACAAACAGTGTGAAGAGTATGAAGAACACACTTCTTTGAGCATCTCTTTACAAAGATCCACTGTGAAGTGATTCTTTGGCACAAGGCTTTTTTATCCGAAGCCATAAGTGATCAAACTTGATCTTCCTGTAAAGAGATACTGTCTTAGCTCAGCGGGGGTCTCACATTAAGTATGTTTACACACACTGAGGAAGGTGCAGGTCCAAACCAGTTCATACTCATCGTTTAGTCCCCTGAGTCCTGGCTGTCTGACTGCGGAGAATATTTCAGACGAAATGTCCCTGCAAAAACAAAACATGTTGTTGTTTATTTCTTCAAAAAATAACTATTTTTACCATTTCTGAAGAACATGTGGGTAATTCTTGTGCACGCACACACACACACACACACACTGACACTGTTATCAAATCGATTTGTGTAACATAAAAGTAAATCTACTGTGTGTGTGTGTGTGTGTGTGTGTATACAGTATATATATATATATACGCACATACATTTACAAACTTCTATGTTAGAAGTGATTAATCATGATTATATAAGTTATATATATATATAAGTTAGTCACCAATCAACATTTATTTCTATAACACATAAGAAAGGTTTTTAGGTTTCTAAGTTGAAGTATTTTCCCCCAATATTTATAGCAAGCAAGCATATTTATATTTTATTTCAGCTTTATTTTTAAATATTTTGTAAAAAAGCTAATTAATTTATATAATTAATTCATAATTAGTAATTAGGGTGCAAAGGTGTTCTGGATGGTTGTTACTATGTGGTTGCTAAGGTGTTCTGAATGGTCTTTAGCAAGTTTTTCTGCATTTGTTAGAATGTTGTGAGTGGTTTCTAGGTTGTTTCTTTGTGGTTGTTAAGGATTTATGAATGTTGTTTTGTTTTGTCATTGTTAGAGTGTTCTGAGTTGCTACAGTTAGGCCCTGTGTCCACCAAAGCATTTTTTTCATGCGGCTGGCGTATTTTTCCAATTGTTTTCAATGGGAGCGCCACGTTTTTAATACGCCAGGAGCGTCTATTTCACGCTTGAAGCACTGCGTTTTAAACAGTCGCCGTTAACAGTTGTAAAACGCAGCGCTCTTCACTGTCACTTTTTACCTAGCTGTCCAATCACAGTGGAGGAGGGGCGGGACAAATACCATACCGACCAACCGTCACATCCTGCTTGTACGTCAACAGATGACAACAACATGCATAATAATGGAACAAAATAATTTAAAACAAGAGCCAGAGCAAATACTTTATCGAAATTTTATATAGAAACAACACAGAAACAAACTATCTGTGAAATGAGATACTAGTAACACTTCCGCGTATATTACGCATCATAGCAAGAAAAGCATCTCAACTGAAAAACCACTTCGCTGCCAAAACGCTCTCAAGCGCCCACAGCTAGGCGTTTTCAGCTGGCTAAAAACACTTTGGTGGAAACGCGGCCTTCTAGACAGTTGCAAGAGTATTCAGGGTGGCTGCTAGGGCGTTCTGGAGCATTGCAAGGGCTTACTTATGTGCTTGCTTGGGTTTTTTTAGTGTTTTTTGGTACACTGCTCTATGGTTGATAGGGTGTTTTATATGGTTGTTAGGGTTAACCTGAGGTTTGTGGAGTGGTTTTACAGCACATTCCTCTATTTTTGCTAGTGCGTTTGTAGGTTGGTGCAATAGGTGTTCTGGTTTTTAGCAAGTTGCTCTACATTTGTTGGGATGTTCTTGGCCGCATTTCCTGGGTGGTTTTGGGTGGTTGCTTGGGCATAGCTAATTTGATGTTAGGATGGTCTAGGTTGCTAATGTGTTAGGAGTAAATTAACTAGTACTAATAATAAACAATGCTGTTACCTTGTTGTGCAGAGTCCATTGCTGGCTGCTTGCAGTCTTGTGCACGATGCCCACTCAGCCCACAGTTATAGCAGGATACAGTCCCTGTTTTCTTATGCCCAGAGCTTCCGTTTCCCATGATTCCATGGGGGTGGTACACACCACCCCCTCCTCCAAGAAAACCCTGCACTGGCGGAAGCACAAGATTCTGTTGAGAGTCATGTGATAGGCTGCTGTTGTAGATAGGCGGGGCCACCAGGGGGTAGGAAAAAGGGGATGCGGTACCATTTCCTGTGAGGAGCGGGCTGAAATGAAGCAAAGGGCCTAACGTGAACACTGACGTTCCTGAGAACGGATGTGGAAAGTAGCCGGCGTAGCTAGCCGGAAGTGCCCCGTAGGAGCCACAGTTGCGGCTACACCCGCAAGAGCTACAAACGCACAATGAGGAACTGGAGTTAATGCTGTTTGCTTGCACCGAGGCGTAGCCGCTATTCTCTGTGGATGCTGGGCTAGAACTGTGCGTGACCACGGGTGTGCTGTTTACACAGTAGGTATTGCCAGGTACTGCCGCCATGGGAACGCTGCTGGCCGGTGAGAAAGAGGGTCTGGTGGAGGAACATGATGACGGGCAGGAGGACGGGGTAGAGAAATGGTACGATCCTGTACTTGGAACAGAAGAAGACACTTGTAAGTGTAAGGGTGGGTGAGAGACGTGGTGGAGGGTGTTAGATGTGGCGGTGAGAGCAGAGCTGGTCTCCACCATGAGACCTGGAGGGGAACGAAGCACCGCGAGGGGCCCACGGGGGGACGACATGTCCTGGTGTCCTGGGGAACCGTCAAGACTCAGCCCAGGGAAAATGTTCTCAAGTCGGACACCCAGAGCAACCCCGGACCCCACTGGTTTAGGACGTTCTTCTGAACAGAGAGGGGGTGGGCGAGGTTTGCGGGGGGAGTTGAGAACCCGGCCTGGGGAGAGGAGGGGTAGGGAGGGAGGGGGCAAACTCATTTGGGAGGGATCATTCTGGACTGGGAGGACTTGGGCAGTGGGACGGCTAGGACCGGTGGATACCGCATGATTGAGGAGAAAGCATGACCGTTCTTTCTCGCCAGGATCCAAACCAGACTCCAAACCTGATAGAAGATAAAGACCAAAAGTGAAATATGCAATAATTTAATTAACAATTTATAAGTATTTTTAAAAATATATATCATGACGATGATAATAATACAACTAAAAATATTTAAAGTGTTAATTTGAATCAAAATGCGTTAATAAATAATAATATTTATAAAATTGTAATTCTTAATAATTGTAATAAATGTTTCATTTTCACTGCATGCTAGTTTTCAATATACTTAATACTCCAATTACCAACTACATTTGCCAAATGTGCAGTATACAGAAGTAATCAGACTACTGGGTACTGCATCCCATAATCATTCAGGTTAATGAATGAATCGCTATTAGATACTTCATATATCCCTTTCTTGATTTATTATATATTGACACAAGCAAACGTAATAAAAATATGTAATACATTAAAAAAAAATTGTATCATAGTGTACTATATGTACACTTAGGGGCTGTTTACACCTGGCCACTTCATGCGTTTTCTCAGATCGGATAGCTACCTGATTTATCAAAACGATTCCATTTACACCTGGTCACATAAATGTGTTTTTGCAAAATGGATATAAATCCGATCTTCAATTCCCGCGCTATATGCAGATTTAATGGAGTGCACGTCACCGAAAGCAACAGATATGAGCTGCATTTTATTGATCATCAGCTAATTTCAAAATCAAAGACTGCAATAAGAGAGAGCGGCAACAGCCCTGGAAAGAGGAAGCCCTCTTTACAGGAAGATCATTTCGTTTCTTTACTTTTAATGAAGATGATTAGTGTGTTAAGCGTCTGCGACTTACTTTCACTTTGATTTGCGATAGTTTGCACGTTGGCTTGATGAATAGATGCTCAGCTGCTCATCTGCGGTAATGCGTGTTGCAGTAGCGACGTCATATCTGACTATAACATGACATATAGCCTATATAACACGCTCTCACACGTTTATTTTTTAGCATTTTTGTGAGGAGTGAAATTTACATATGTGGTTTCAACAACCAGATGCATTTACACTTGTCCAGTTTCATCTGGAATGCGGCCCAGACCTCCTCCTGAAGTGGTTTGAGCGATCGGATTTAAATCCGTCTCGAATGCGTTTCAGAGGGCATTTACACCTGGTCTTTTCACGATCGGATAGCTATCCGATCACAGAAAACGCATAAAGTGGCCAGGTGTAAACAGCCCCTTATTGTGGACAATTTAATGTCCGTTCTAAAAATATTTATTAAAAAAAAAAGAGTTCTTACGTCTGTGAAGGTCTTTAACCCGGTCGAAGGAAGTGTCACGTGATAAAGGAGTCATTGGACTGGAAGGAGCACTGGAATAGCCCGAGGAGGAACTGCTGTCCCGTGGAATAGGCAACGAGCTGTTCTCGACGTCTACCCGTAACTCTTTACATACACACACACACATAAAAATAAATAAATAAAAGATTATAACCTCTTGCAGTGTGTTGCACTTCAAAAAATTTGATCTTTAATCTTTTGGATATTTAATGCAAAACATATTTAATTAGTATGATTTTTCAGGAGTGTGTGTACCAGTGCCACTTCCAGGGTGTATGTGTGTCAGGGGTCCGATGTGACTGGAAGGGGTCACTCTGGCAACCCCACCGCAGGAAACAGGAAAGTGAGACACCACATATCTTTTCTCCAGCTTCTCTCTGACAGAAAAACAAAAAATAAAGTTTATATTTTAAATATACCATTTGATTAAATGTCAATGTTTTTTTTTTATAGAACATAATTTCCCAGCAATGACACCTAGATGGCGCTGTGTACAAAAACATCCCAGCACCATGCATGTGCATAATTCTGGCAGAGCATCAGCTTAAATCTGATCATCTATGTAGATACTGACAACTTTGGTTCAAGTGGGATTTTAGAAACAGTTGTATGATTTGCAAAACATATTTTTAAAATGTAGTCGATACGGGCTAGGTCTGTATAATTAGGCTGGTTCAGAACTGGACACATTTCTTACAGGGCCTTTCAGTTCAGACACTTTACCATGTGGAATAAAAATAAACACTCTTTAAGTTTTAGTTAGTGTCAGTGAAAACCGTTTAATTGAGAACGAGACCTGTGAACCAGTGTATAACCTTGCATTTGTTGTTGTTTCCAGGCATGGAAAAGCTGTGGATTTTTTCCTGTTATCTGTTTGATATCTTTGCTCCCACGGCTCTACCTGAGCAATGGAAACTTGCTGATGTGAGAAATGGAAAAAGAATTAGAATGGTGTGTTTTCACAAAGGAGTAGTTCCTTGCTCCACTTCCGTGCTGACAGTGAACTCTCAACACCAAACTCTTATCTGAAGGAAGCGATCTGCTCTGCAACAGTGTAAGTTGTCCATTTACCAACATGTTAATTGCTTGAAAATTCACAGATTGTTAACATGCTACAAATACGTGTCAACAAACGTGTCATAATTGACTCCCCATCGTGTGGTTCCAAACCTACATGCTGTTATTTTTTCTCACTAGGAAAAAAGTAACTATTTCTTTAATGGTACATTAATGTATTAAATAAAATCTACATACATTCCTGTTCAAAAGTTTGGGGTTGGTATTGATGTTTTTGAAAGAAGTCTCTTCTGCTCACCAAGGCTGCAGTTATACTGATGAGCCAAAACATTATGACCAGTCACAAGTGAAGCAAATATCATTGATCATCTCCTAACAAGGCCACATATTAAGGACTGTGTAGATTAGATGAAAAGCAAACAATCAGTTCTTGTAATAATCAGTGTGTTGGATGCAGGAATAAAGATCTGAGTGACTTTGACAAGGACCATATTTTTATGGCAAGGCGACTGGGTCGGAGTATCTCTGAAACAGCAAGGCTTGTGGGTTGCTCCGGGTCAGCAGTGGTGAGAAGTTACCAACAGAGGTCCAAAGGGGGACAAACCACAAACCAGTGCCCAAGGCTCATCGATGCACAAGGGCAACGAAGGCTATCCCGTCTGGTCATAGCCAACAGAAGATCTACTGTGGCATACAGTCAAACAAAATTTTAATGATGGTTATAGGAGGAATGTGTCACAACTGCTGCTTATGGGGATGCATAGCCACAGACCAATCAGAGTGCCTATGATGACCCCTGTCCACCGTCAGGAGCAGTGGAAGATGGTCACCTGGTTCTATGAGTCCCGTTTCCTTTTACATCACATGGATGGCCGTACATGTGCGCCGTTTACCTGGGGAAGTGATGGCACCAGGATCCACTGTGGGACGAGGACAAGCCGGTGGAGAAGTGATGCTCTGGGAAATGTTCTGCTGGGATACCTTGGGTCCGGCCATTCATGTGGATGTGAATTTGACATGTGTTACCTACCTAAACATTGTTGCAGACCAGGTACACCCCTTCATGACAACGGTGTTCCCTGGTGGAAGTGGCCTCTTGCAGTGGCCACTGCAGACATTGTTCAGGAATGGTTTAAGGAACACGATGAAGAGTTCAAGGTGTTGCCCTGCCCTACTGGACTTGAAGGATCTGCTGGTAACGTCTTGCTGCAAAATACCACAGGACACCTTGAGGGGTCTTGTAGAGTCCACCCCTCGACGGGTCGGCGCTGTTTAGGCAGCACGCGGAGGGCCAACCGCATATTAGGCAGGTGGTCATAATATTTTGGCTCATCTGTGTTTGATAAGGTGCTAAATGTGCTAACCGGTTGCGGTTTTTACACCCATGGGACGCAAATGTAAAAGAGATGTTTGAGTGCATTTTCTATTTATCATAGCAGCAATAGCTGCGTTTAAACAACAACTGAATGTTTCTAAGGTGGTTTATGGCACGATACACACAGATTTAAATGTGTCAGTGTCATATTATAAGCACATATCACACTCACTTCTGAAGCTCCAGCTGAGTCTTTAGTTTTTTCTTGGCCCCCTGAGTGAGGTCGTACTTGTCGAGATCCTCTTCTGTGAGAGCGAGGAACTGAGAAAGTGAATAAAGAGATCATAATTTAGATAAGTTGTAGTGGGAGAGATTTGTTAGGAAGGACAGATGCATTTCTTGGCTGCAATATCCGAAATCTGTTCCCTGATCCTAAATGAATTGAATCTCTTATCTGAGAGATGATTCTCATACCAAGGGAAAGAGCCACTTTAAGTCACGTACCTCCTCCATGGTTAGCTGTTTGAAGACAGGGTAATATTTATGCAACCGCAGTTTTCGAAGCCAGTCCAGGATGCCGTTCTGCTCCGGGCTGGGCTGCTGGGATAGGGGTCCGGGGTTTATGAGGTGCGTCTGTGGTGGACTGCCCTCCCCAATAGGTACAGCAGTGCCGGGGAGAATGGCCACCGCTGTCTGAGGGGGGAGAGGGGGCAGGTGGGCAGGGGTGCTCTGCGGGAGGGGGGCATGGACGCTTAGGACAGGCTGGATGCTGGCGACACCACAAATTGGCCTGGGACAGAGTGATAGAGGATTATGGATGGAGAGAAGAGAGATGTGTTAGTGTTTGGGGTGAGGGGTTGTTAAACTCACCTGCTCGCTCCCCTATACTGAAGCAAACAGCCCAGATCTGAAAAACATGGAAGTGACAAAGTGTGATTAAGGAGTATAGGATGATTCGACATGAAAAGATCCATGTCAAAAAAAGAAAGAAAAATGTCAGAAAAGAAATTGAATGGGTAAATCTCAAATACACGTCAGTTTTCACATCAAAATGAAAAAATATGTAATTAATTTGATTAATTCTTTTAAATATATATATATATAAATAAATAAAAATATATATTTTTATAAATAAAATGACCATTAAGATTCATTTTAAGTTGGATGTATTTTTTTAATAAGATTAAAAATAAAATGCATTTAAAAAATGTCTTTTATTAATTCAAAAATATATATAATTTGTGACAAAATAATGTCTTTTTTGACATTAGTATAGTATTGACAAAAGTATTGAAAGTATTAATTAAGCACATTTTACCCCCAAATACCAAAATGGACCCAACTGTTTTTTTGGATTGTTTCGATTATGATTTTAAAATGGATTTTTTATTAGATCCATATTGAATTCATATAAATTACAAATAACAAAACAAAAACTACCATTTTATATATATATATATATATTATTGTTTATATACAAAACTGTTTTTGTTCTTTATATATATTGCTGTTTAAAAAAAAAAAAAAAATGTAAATCATATTGCAGTAATGATGGAGATTGTTTGCATTACAGTAGTGAGAATTGGGGGGTTTATGTCTCCCTATGATTTTGGGGTGAAATATGATTTTTTTTTTACAGGTTTTGTGTGCTTTCGCTTGATCTCATTATGAAATTGTCTAATCAAAGGGCCAGACACATTTTTATTTCCCCTCTTACCATGACTTATCCTTACGTACACAAACTTTATTTTGAGTTTCTTCCCCCATGAGCCCAATTCAAGGGGAAGGCTATAAAACCGACATTTTAAAGCTATATAAGCGGTACAGACCCAGCACTGCACAAAATGCCCATTTGCACTGATATTATTTCAACTACAGGCTATTGAGTTGTAAACAATCGTCATTTTAACAATAATAATAATAGTGTCCATAATGATTTGTTTGCTTACTGCAGAGCCCTCTCTTATTGTATTTGATGGCTAATATATGTGAAAAATTAATTTGCAATGCATTATCAAGAAATAAGAATTTTGCACTTATTTCTATCCAAGGGGGTGTCTGTCCCTTCCCCCACCACTAAAAATAACATCACAGATACACATCTAGGTTCTAGTGGCCTTTCGCCCTATTAATAGTTTCCCAAGATGAGGTCACTTCTGAAGCATCTCAGCACAAGCAGGTCAAATCAAATTCCATCTGAGCTGAAACAAACTCCAACCCTGTTTCCCCAAGAAATGGTGTGGTCCTGAAACAAACCTCTATGGTGAAGTGGCAGGGATGAACCATTGAGAGGGGGAAATAAGGGGCTTACTTGTGCTAGTAGGGAGCTGCGGTGCGGGCGAAGTGCTGAAGAAGAAACAGACTTTGTCGTGTTTGAGAACATGAGGCGGAAAAGAGGTCAAGCATCTGTGGGATTGAGGAAAAATCCACAAATTTAATACAATTTTGATTAGGTTTTGATATAGCAAAAAACAAGGCTGGACAATCTACAAAACAAAATATGATATACAAAATGAATAAATAAATGTAACAAAATATATAAATGAGTATGTATATATATGGATAAACACTAAGCTTTTAATAGTTTTAACCACAAATTAGCTCAATTTAAGCAAATGCACTACTTAAAAACCATTGCTGTCTCAGAAAAACAGTTTTTGGCAGAATATAGGAAGTTTGATTCAGAAGAATTGTGAGAACTTTGATGAATCACAATGAAACATGAGTTGAATGGTGATTTTTAAAAATCTTGTGAGAAATATAATAAAAAAATGCATCTCTAGCACAGTGAAGCATGGAGGAAGAGTGTCATTGTAAGAGGAGCCTTTTTATCTGCTGGTGTTGGTGAGCTACTTCACTGTGAAAAGTCATTTAATGCTTCGGAATACAGGAGAATATTGCAGAATAGCTTGCTTCCCACAAATGAAAAGTTGTTAACTAAAGAGGAATAATCAGATGTTATTTTTTTAAGACAATGTTGCAAAGACAACCAAGAAGTGGCTTGAGAACAAGTCCATCAGGCTCATGTTTTGGCCATGTCATTTGGTCTCACATTAAACTTAAACTAACTGGGAGACATTTTTCACCTACTAATGAACTATTTGAAGCCATATCCATTGAGTGGAACAACAATGCTGACTCTTCTTCCTGTACATATATATATATATATATATATATATATATATATATATATATATATATATATATATATATATATATATACACACAATTATCCATTTATTTATTTTGTTAAGATTTTTGTTAGACACAAGAAACATTTTATTATCATCAATGAAAACAGTGCTACTTTTTTTGTCAGGATTCTTTGATCAGTAACAAGTAAAAAACAGAATTTATTTTAGTTTATATATAAAAATTATTTAGTCCCTTTTGATTCATTTAATGAATCCTTGCTGAATAAAACTATTAATTTCTTTGAACGATGAGGAGAGAATGTTATATCTATATCTATATCTATATATATATATATGTGATATATATGTGATATATATGTGATATATATATATATATATATATATATATATATATATGCCATACAAATCTATAATGAAATTAGGTTATTTTATTAAATGAGCATTTTAATTTATAACAATATAGAAGAATAAAAAACAATATTTCCCCACATACATTTTTACTAACCCTTTTAATACATAATACATGCCTTTTTTTTGCAACTGCATTTTAAAAACTATCTGTCTGCAAATATATTGTAAATATTCCATTTATAACCCATCCCTGATAAAAACATTGTCTAAATGATAATTAGTGTATCTGGATCGGTTAGGATTCAGAAGCAGAAATACCGAGGATCTAGTTCATGAGTGGAATCAAGTCCAGGCATCTGAGGCAGAAGTTTCTCCAGACATTCATCAGGAAAGAGCTGAGAGAGCTGAAGAGAGACAACAGAGACACAATCACACTTTTTCACAGTTCATTGTTGAGTGCTGACAGGTTGTAAAGATTCACTGGTTTACAGCATTGATTATTCTTCAATCAAAGTCAAAGCATTTTTTCGACTCCGCAACTTTCCAGCGGTTCCAGTGATGGGCAAGAAATTAGGATGAACAGGAATGCTAATGTTTTATTTTGAAGACTTTTGGTCTTTACACACAGGTTCAACATTTCTAACACGCATGTGTCAGTCACCTGGGAGATGAACTCCAGCACTTCCTGAGGGGTCTTGCTGACAGTCGACAAAGTGGAGTCGGACCACAAGGCCTTGAACCAAGACAAAAATATGACAAACATATAACATGCCAACTACATTTTGGCAACACTTATTCTGTAAAACATATGACACAACTACAGAAAGGACCTATTTTTGCTTGAGGTACAATACAGATAATATGCAGGAGATTTTGATCAACGGTTACTGTTTTTACAACAAACTTTACTGGACACTGACACAAAACTCACCTCCAGGATGTATTCTGTTGGTTTGTCTGATTTGGATGTAACTCCTCTTAGTTCAATTCTTTCAACATAAACTGGAAAAAAAGCACAAAAAGACAAGAAACGTTCAAATCTGTTTGGTTACAGAAGACTTATACACTGTCGGGTTAAATGCGGGTCTTTTGAACTTTCTATTACCGTAAAACTTCAAATAGTAGCCCGGACTTTTATTTTCCCAAATCGTCGAACTGCACCGGCTTGTATTTGAGACAGCCAGGCCTTTATAATTTAGTGTTGAGATGTTGTTCATTGAGTGTATAGGCCTGTCTCTAATCTCTAAAAATCTCCAAATGCTCCACGTGAAACTGCGGTCTTCCGACCTTTTACTATCGTGTTAATTGATTTTGATTAATATGCGCGAGGGAGAGAGAGCAAGACAGCGCTCGTGTTGTTTGAAGACGTGAGAGTGAGCGCGCGCGGCCGGGGCGCTCCCTCTCTCTCTCTGCTCGTAACGTCATTCTATTCTACATCACTCATCGTCATCGATCAAAAAAGGCTTTGGAGGGACAACAATTTGCTTTGGCGGCCGCCAAAAAGCGGACGATCTGACGGTTTTAGAGGATTAAATACAACCCGAAACTAAAAAACAGACCCGGCCTCTATTTGAGACCGGCCTTTATTTACCCAAACCTGCAGCCACACCAGGCGTGTAAAAGAGACAGGCGTCTATTTGGGACTCGGCTATTATTTGAAGTTTTACGGTAATCAAAGAATCCATCACGGTTTTCACAAAAATATCAAGCAGCACAAAATTGTATGATAATAAAAAGCGGTTCTTGAGCACCAAATCAGCACATCATGCAGAATATATGAAATCATATTCGCCACAAAGTTGAGATTTGTCTTGAAATGCTGGATTATTGCACTCTTGCATTCCACGCATAAAAATATAGTTACATTTACCCCAAATAACTGAATGAGTTACATTCACTCCCCAAGCTTTGAATAAGAATTACACACACTCTCCATAATGAATTATGGTTGTATTATCACAGACTGTTTGGATTCTATTAGAGGAGAAGAGTATGTGAGAAAATCCTCCAGAATTTAATAACCTCTCAGACGGTTTCTGGCAGGTTAGAACGCATTCGAGCATATTTAGCTGAGGAGGAAGAACCTGAGAGAAGCCTCCAGGCTGTTCATTTCACAACACATGTTGGTGGCAAACCAGTGAAGTTCAAAGCAGACAGTAAGGTTAAACGTGAGCAAGAGCGTCAGAGAGAAAATAAGGAGCGACAGAAGTCATAACTTTGTCATCTTTAAATGGTTTGATGTTAAAAAGTTTGGGGTTAGTGAGATTTCTTTGAAAGAAAGTTAATCATTTTATTCAACAAGGATGCATTATATTGATCAAAAGTGAGAGTAAATACATTTAAAATTGTACAAAAGATTTATATTTCAAATGCTGTTCTTTTGAACTTTCTATTCATCAAAGAATCCTAAAATAAAATGGATTACAGTTTCTACAAACATATTAAGCAGCAGAAACAGTACAAACTGTTTTCAACAATGATAATAAGATAAAAATAAATGTTGTTTAAGCACCAGATCATCATATTAGAATGATTTCTGACGGATCATGTGACACTGAAGACTGGAGTAATGATGCTGAAAATTCAGCTTTGCGACACGTATATAAATTACATTTGAAAATATATTCAAATACAAAACCGCTATTTTAAATTGTAATAATATTTGACAATATTACTGTAATAATACACGGTTTTACTGTTTTTCACTTTTAAAAAAAGCAGCCTTGGTGAGCATAAGAGAATTCTTTCAAAAACGTTAAAAAAATTAAACAACTCCAAGCTTCGGTATGGTAGTGTTCGTGATATTCATATATTATAAGTGAGACTCAAGTGTCCAGCTTAAGTGTGTACATATGCACACACACACACACACACACGTTCACACACAAGCGAGCAGGAACACATCCGGAGTCTGCTCACAGTAAACATGGGCGAGCGTGTTAAATATACCCTGCAGAGTCAGCACTTCCTGTAGTGTGTGTGTGTGTGTGGACAAAGAGAGCTGAATGTAATTCTGTAAGTTCTACACATCCGAGAGCAGAAGATCGCCTTCAATTCTCTCATTCACTGAGATCAATATTTTAGCCATTTCTAAATATGATCAAGCAACTAGCACAAAAAAAATGTGGTCCTCAAAAAAGAAAGTATAAGCCGTACAGATTTGAAACGACGAGAGTTAGTAATCGATCGCAGAACTTTCTTTGTTGTTGCACAGACTTTAGAGCTTTTTCATGGCCTCATCTCTTTCCGCATCTCCGGCAGGCGAGTGTGAGCTCATCTGGAATGTTCCGGAGAGCAAGAGGCTTTTCCCTTCGGCAAAGAGAGATGCATGTCTGCTCCTCCCAATCCACCCACCAAACCCCTCATTACACTGTGTGTTTTTATGTGTGTGTGTGTGTGAGAGAGTGTGCGCCATGGAGCGAAAGTGAACCACAAACCCAGAGAGAGGTCACCGCCAGAGGAGGAAGAGATTTGTGAAGTGGTTTGAGATGACAGACGGACAAAGGCAAATGTGTGAAGTACAAACGGGATGAGATGCAAAGTATTTTTAATCTGAAAAAAAAAAAAAAATCATTTTAGAGTATTTGTTCAAGTGCAATATCGCTAAAACCTTCCAAGCCGGATGTTACAATTACATTCAGGTGTTTTCATGATGTTTATGATTAAGATTGCATGGGAATCAAACGTTTATACGCATATATGATGCTTAAAATAGAACGTGATGCTTTCCGTGATGCGTTTTCCTTTAGATGTAATTTCAGAGTATTTTGCTCTAAAACACTCTTGTATCACAATAAAATATTTAACTACATCAGTTCTCCTGTAGGCTATGCATTTTTACACTATTGTTGTAACAAAGCAGACTATAAACAATTAAAATTATTCATGAATCACAAAGAGCCCAAAAGCAGCACATAAAACATGAAAATCCTGTAGAGAACAGAAAGGCAAAATTGTGTAAATTTTACACATTATTGTTGTATTTTATATTAATTTAAAAATATTGATAATAGCAATAATAATATGTTAATTGATAATACATTTATTTTTATATAGCAATAATAATAAATTATTATTATTATTATTGCTATATAAAAAGCATATATTACAAAAATACATGTTATTAATGATACAATGATTATATTTATATAAAATATATTGAATTAATATATAGTACCAACATATAAATATATATTAAAATATTAATTATTATTATCATTGCTATTTAAAAATTGGTGTAATATTAAGTGAGTGAAAAATACAGCAATAATATAATTATATTTATATAAAATATATTGAATTAATATATAGTACCAACACATTAAAATATACTATTTGATATATATTATATATAAAATATATATTACAAATATTATTATATTATTATTAATAATAATGCTTTTTACAAATTGGTGTAATAATTAAGTGAGTGAAAAATACAGCATTAATATTCGAGGACACAGCACAAATACATTGTTCATTAACCTCCCCCTCCCTCTGACCTTTCACTGCAGGCATCATTGCACTTTTCAAGCTTTGCTCAATGCACAGGGGCATTATGGGAACACACCTGCCATCTCTCCTGTCCTCCCACGTGAGTTTTCAGCACTGGGCTCTAATAATTCATGGATATGCACAGGTGCAGCTGACCTGAACAAGTTGTTTTCTTTCATCTGTCACTTTTTGCTTCTTTCTTTCTTTCTTTCTTTCTTCACCTCTCCTGTCTGAACCTCCTGAAATGATAGAGGTTGGTTTTCTATACGGTTATGTCATTTTGCTTTGAATGTTTCAAACAACATAATGAAAACGTTTCTTGATAAATACACCTCCATTCAATGGTTTGGGGACAGTAAGACTAAAATAAAAAATGGAATATGGATTAAATTGATCAAAAGTGACAGTAAAAAAAATAAGTTATTTTCAACGTTTCGATTTATCAAAGAATTCTGGGAAAATCCAACATCGATAATAACAACAAATGTTTCTTGAACATAAAATCAGCATATTAGAATGATTTTTGAAGGATCATGTGACACTGAAGACAGGAGTAATGATGCTGCTAAAAATTCAGCTTTGCATCACAGGAATAAATTACATTTTAAAATATTTTAAAATAGAAAACAGCTATTTTAAATTGTAATAATATGTCATAATGCTAACTGCATTTTTGTCAAATAAATGCAGCCTTGGTAAGCAGAAGAGACTTATTTTTAAAACATTTTTAATAAAATCTAATAAATGTAGTTTTTTAATTATATATTTCAGTATGAATTAAATGTTATCATACACAAAACATACATATGATTATAAAAATATTAGATGATAGTAATGATTAATGTTTGAAATGCAACCTATAAAAGTATATATTTTATCATTAATACTATATACAGTTCATTATATTTAAAATAATTAACTTTCATTTTATGAGTAAACATTTAATTTCCCAGGAAGATCTAATCTACACCAAGTTTCGTCAATATTGATTTTAATAAAGTTTGAAAACAATGTGATCTGTTAACTTAGATGAGAGAGAAATATGTATAATCTATATATATATAAAAAAATATGATAAATATTAAACAAAAATATAAGAATATGAATGTGATGATTATTTGTGTTTCGTCACAAAACGTTTGAGTAACTGTGCTGAATTTCTTTGAAATGATATTCAGAAAATTTCCTTTTCCTTTCATTCCAAATCAAAGTCAACATCCTGTCAGGCCAATTCACTCACTCGTGAAAACTCTGTTCATGGTCAGGAGGAGGAACTTTCAAGTTTTCTTAGAAAACTGCAGGATGGGTTTCCATAACACTTCTGCACTCAATCGTACCACACAAAATAACGATTCGTTTTTTAGATATTGGATTGGGATCTCTGTAGTTTTAATTCTCTTTTCAAATAGCACAAGATGTCTGCAGTACCTCAACCAATCTGTTATTTGATCTAGAAATAATGGATGTCCATAATGGAGGTGCACCAGGTGACGAGACAACAAATTTAG